AGGGGTTGTACAGGAGGGGACTACATGGGGGACTTACAGTACCACATATTTCTCCCATCAGGCACCGCTGCACGAGAGGGATCATCCTCCCAGAATGCACCGTTAAGGGGATTATCCCCTCGTGCAGCAGAACCGGCAATTCACACAAAAATCTACAACTGGTACAATATACGGTGGATTTACACGAATGGACGTTCGGTAGATAGCTGGGGTCTGGGCGCATCATTCGTGAGATTGCCGCTCAGATCCCAGCTAAACTAACCGAACGCCGCACAGAAAACACATTTCTTTCAAACCCCACGAAAAGAACCGATTGCTTTTCGTGAACCTGGTCCTGAAACTCCCGAACGTCCTGGAGGCTCAGCGGTGTTCGTGCCGTCGAATAACTGTTGGCAATGCTATGCGTTCGATGACACGGACCCGCTGAAGACCCAGGGATCCAAGATGGCCGACCGCCGCATGGTCGGTAGTCGAACGACGGCCACCCAGGAGAGCCTCTAATAACCGATTGCAACAATGTTGCAATCGGTTAACTAGCGCCACACGCCTCTAAGTGTGTGGGCTATTAGGGGGTATCGCATTCGTTTCACGAACGGCCCTCCAAAGTGCCGTTCGTGAAACGAACGAGAATCCCCATACAAACCGCCATTTGCATTCGGCGGAACAGATAGGTACAGGCAATGCAGGGAATACATGAAGCAGGCACATACAGGTACAACGCATCTCTCTCCAGACCTATAGGCAACCCTTAAAGGCATAGTGTCCAGTTATAGTCCGAGTGGCTAGGTTTGCCACAATGCTCCCCCAGAACCAAGCCGGCATACACAGTCTGATCCCAACGGATCGGCTTGGGGATGTCCGGAGGAGTACTCACGAATCACGGCTCCAAGTCTGTTTGTCTAGACAACCCGTCGGCGTTGCCATTCTGCTTCCCAGGGCGGTAGTGGATAGTAAAGTCAAAAGGCTGCAGCGCCAAACTCCAGCGCAGCAGCCTGGCATTGTCTCCGGACACCCTGTTCAGCCACACCAACGGGTTGTGATCCGTGAGTAAAGTGAAGGGTTGCCCGTATAAGTAGGGTTGCAACTTCTTGAGGGCCCACACCACAGCCAGGCACTCCTTTTCAATGGCGGCGTAGCTTACTTCCCTGGGTAAAAGTTTTCGGCTTAGGTAAGCTGCGGGGTGCTCGCCGCCATCGGGTCCAACTTGGCTCAGTACTGCTCCCAATCCAAACATAGAAGCGTCTGTGTGGACGAGAAAGCGTTTAGTTGGATCAGGAGCAGAAAGTACAGGAGAGTTAACAAGCGCCGTCTTGAGCTGTTGGAACGCCTGCTCACAGTCTGGGGCCCAGACTACTAACTTAGGGAGGTTCTTGCGGGTCAGGTCTGTGAGGGGTTTGGCGAGGGCGCTATAGTTGGCCACAAACTTCCGGTAGTACCCGGCCGTCCCTAAAAAAGCGAGCACTTGGGTCTTGGTGCGAGGGGTAGGCCATTGGGCGACTGCCTCTATTTTAGCAGGTTCGGGTTTCTGTTGCCCACTCCCTACCCGGTGCCCCAGATACTGGACTTCCGCCATACCGATATGGAATTTGCTGGGTTTTAGGGTCAGTCCGGCCTCTCGGATTCGGTCTAGAATGGCTCCTATGTGATCCAGATGTTCGTGCCAGGAGTGGCTGAATATGGCGATATCATCTAGATACGCGCAGGCATACTCCTGGAACCCATCTAATAGTCTGTCCACCATTCTCTGGAAGGTAGCTGGAGCGTTTTTCATCCCGAATGGCATGACCTTAAACTGATACAGGCCAAACGGGGTGACAAAAGCCGACTTAGGGATGGCGTCTTCCGCTAAGGGAATCTGCCAGTACCCTTTGCACAAGTCTATAGTGGTTAGGTATTGACCCCTGGCCATCTTGTCGAGGAGTTCGTCTATTCGGGGCATGGGATATGCGTCAGAGGTCGTTTTATCGTTGAGCCGTCGGTAGTCTACGCAGAAACGGGTCGTCCCGTCCCGTTTCGGCACCAGTACTACCGGGGAGGCCCAGGGGCTGTCCGAGTGCTCTATTACTCCTAGCTGAATCATCTCCTCAATTTCCTTGCGCATATTCTCCTTGACTGCTTCTGGAGTGCGGTAGGGGGGTTGGCGCAAGGGGGTCGAATCTAACGTTTCTACCTTATGGGTAGCCAACGGGGTATAGCCGGGTAAATTGGAAAACGTGGCCTTCTTTTCCCGAAGCAACTTTTGTACCTGGGCCCGTTCTTGGGTATTTAATCTTTCTCCTAACTGTACCTCTCCCAGATCTCCGCTCTGGCCCTCTTGGTCTAGGAGATCGGGTAGGGGTAGGTTATCAAAATCTTCCGTGGCAGGGGCACAGATTGCGGTGACTTCCTCAGTCCGTTCGTGGTATGGCTTGAGCATGTTCACATGGAGCATGCGTTTGCCTCCCACGCCGGTAACCGGGCCGATCACATAGGTGGTGTCACAGATCTGTTCCACCACTTTGTATGGGCCCTGCCAGGAAGCCTGCAGCTTATCTTTGTGGACGGTTCGCAGGATTAGGACTTTCTGCCCCACCTGAAAGCTGCGGTCCCTGGCTCCCTTATCATACCATCGGCGCTGTCGTTGTTGCGCTACCTGGAGATTGTCTCGGACGGTCTGGGTTAGCCTCTCCAGGCGTTCCCGGAACTTGAGCACATATGGTAAGATAGGGGTGCCATTAACGGTTTCGTCTCCCTCCCAGTGTTCCCGTATCAAGTCAAGAGGTCCCCTCACTCTCCTCCCGAATAATAATTCGAACGGAGAGAATCCGGTGGATTCTTGTGGCACTTCTCGATATGCGAACAGTAGGTGGGGTAAAAACCGCTCCCAGTCTTTTTGGGTGTCCATGAACGTGCGGATCATTTGTTTCAGGGTTCCGTTAAACCGTTCACAGAGCCCATTGGACTGGGGGTGATATGGGGAGTTGAGGATTTGTTGTATCCCACAGATTTTCCAGAGCTGATGGGTCACTTCAGCAGTAAACTGGGTGCCTCTATCGGAGATAATCTCCCGGGGAAATCCTACCCGGGTGAATATCCTCATCAGGGCCTCGGCTACCGTTTCTGCGTGTACGTTCGTTAGGGCCACTGCCTCGGGGTACCGGGTGGCGTAGTCCACCACAGTTAGGACATACTTCTTGCCGGAGGGGCTGGGTTTTGCAAGGGGACCTATAATGTCTACTGCCACCCTACTGAATGGTTCTTCAATGATGGGCAGAGACCGTAGTCGGGCTTTGTATCTGTCCCCCCTCTTGCCTACCCTTTGGCAGGTATCGCAGGTCTGACAATACCGCTTAATATCCTGGGAAATACCTGGCCAAAAGAAATTTTGGGTCAGCCTGTGCTTGGTCCGACTGATGCCTAGGTGTCCAGACAGAGGGATATCATGGGCTATGCGTAACAGCTCTAACCTATACTTTCGAGGCACTATTAGCTGTTTAATGGGCAACGGTATTGACCCGGACACTACCTTCTCTGCGTGCCGATATAGTAGTCCTTTGTCCCAGATATATCTTTCCCCCTCTAACCCGGCTTGATTTTTATCCATGCGGTCTTTGTATACCTGTAACGAAGGATCTAGGGCTACTTCGGCCCCGAACTCTATGGAATTGGCCCAGGGCATGATAGGGGGTAGGGGAGGGTCATTGCTTACCTGAGCCTCAGAGTGTTCGGATGGTGCAGTGGTGCGGGCCTGTTGCCGGGTCACAACCGGGTATGCTTCTTGTACGGTGGGCTGTGGAACAAAAGCTGAAGTCAGCTCCCCCAAATCGTTGCCCAAAATCACATCCGCTGGCAAGTCTTGCATCATCCCCACATATACATTCCCGTGCCCCGCTCCCCAATTCAAGTGCACCTTGGCCGTGGGTACTTTGTAAATGGCTCCCCCAGCCACCCGCACAGCCACACAGTCCCCCGTGAGCTTGGGCTTTGGTACCAGATGACTGCGTACTAGAGTTAGGGTGGCTCCAGAGTCACGAAGTCCTTGTACTTTCCTCCCCTCCATGTGTACTTCCTGGCGGTGCCCTTGGCGGTTATCGGAGGCGGCCTGGATAGGGTTCACCTCGTGTAGAGTACCGAGGGGTTCCTCCCGGGTTGTCCCCAACTCCAGATTTTGGTAGGATTCGGCCTGTAGACAATGGACTGTGGCACGGTTGCTCGGGGCGGCGTTATTCCAGCTGGGTCGAGGCCGGTTCCGTGGGCAGTCTCTCTGGATGTGCCCCTGTTGGTTGCAGGTATGGCACCGGATTGGTGGACGTGCTGAATATCTGGGGGGGTAGGAATTCTGGTTTACCCCTGGTCGCTGGTACGTTGCGGGGCCCCCTGGAGGGCTGGTCGTTGTAGGGGGGATGGTGGCTCGGGCTGGTATGGGTTGATCTCTCCGATTGTCCTGGAAATCGTCTGCCATATTAGCCGCTTCCTGCAGGGTGTGTGGCTTTCTGTCCCGGATCCAGTTTTGTAGGTAGGTCGGGACGCCATTGAAGAATTGTTCCAGTACTATTAGCTGGAACAGACCCTCCAATGTATCAACTTGGGCGGCCTCCAGCCACCCTTTGGCAGCTCGTTGCAGCTGGTGCGCCCATTCCACATGGGTGTCCTTACTGGGTTTTTTAATGTCCCGAAACTTCTTTCGGTATGCCTCTGATGTGATGGCATACCGGGCTAGGATGGCCCGCTTTACTTTAGCGTAGTCTCTACTATCCTCGTCTGGTACTGCCCGGTACGCTTCGGCGGCTTGCCCAGATAATCTCCCCGCTAGTAGGGGTACTCTGTCTGCATCATTAATTTCGTGCAGCAAACACAGTCTCTCGAAATCCTGTAAATAGTCGTCAACGCCACCCTCTGTCTCCACATAGCTTTTGAAGGCTTGATATGGGATTTTGGCTTTCCCTGGGAAAAGATGGACTGGCGTTGCGGCTCTTTCTCTGGCTTGCTGGTTTCCTGGCGGTCCTCTAGCCATAATGTACTCCTGTACATCAGCGAACAGCCGGTTAATCATCTCTGTAGATGGTGGTTCAGGAAATAAAGCCATCCGTGCTCGGAATTCCGCTGTAAATTCGTTGGTTTGTCCCTCCATTTGAGGTGCTGCAGCAGCTGCGGCTCTGTCTCCTTCCATGAGCTCCGTAATTAGGACAGCATTTGCCTTGTTACTGGCGATTGCTCCTCTTGCTTCCAGCAGCTCCTTTAATGTGCTCCGTTTTAGCAGGGCGTAATCTGTTCCCATTCACCTGCTGTTCGTGAGGTTTATTCGAATGCGCTGATTCCCGAATGCTTGTTCCTTGATTCGTTTAAAAATCTGCCGAACGTTGCTTTGCTGTGTAAATTCAATCCCGTCGCTTGCCACCAATTGTAGCGGAGAGGCAGTATGATCCACGATATCTCCGCTGGGTAACAGGAACAACAAAGGATAATCCAGGGAATCAGCATATAATAATCCAAACAGCACTGCAGTAACCCTTCCTTCCCAAGAACTAGACGACACATAGGCTGGGAGTCAACTGAGGTTTTAATCACAGGTCACAGTATTTATGCAATTCCCCATGCAAGGGGTTTCCAAACTGACATTACAGGGGTTGTACAGGAGGGGACTACATGGGGGACTTACAGTACCACATATTTCTCCCATCAGGCACCGCTGCACGAGAGGGATCATCCTCCCAGAATGCACCGTTAAGGGGATTATCCCCTCGTGCAGCAGAACCGGCAATTCACACAAAAATCTACAACTGGTACAATATACGGTGGATTTACACGAATGGACGTTCGGTAGATAGCTGGGGTCTGGGCGCATCATTCGTGAGATTGCCGCTCAGATCCCAGCTAAAATAACCGAACGCCGCACAGAAAACACATTTCTTTCAAAACCCACGAAAAGAACCGATTGCTTTTAGTGAACCTGGTCCTGAAACTCCCGAACGCCCTGGAGGCTCAGCGGTGTTCGTGCCGTCGAATAACTGTTGGTAATGCTATGCGTTCGACGACACGGACCCGCTGAAGAACCAGGGATCCAAGATGGCCGACCGCCGCATGGTCGGTAGTCGAACGACGGCCACCCAGGAGAGCCTCTAATAACCGATTGCAACAATGTTGCAATCGGTTAACTAGCGCCACATGCCTCTAAGTGTGTGGGCTATTAAGGGGTATCGCATTCGTTTCACGAACGGCCCTCCAAAGTGCCGTTCGCGAAACGAACGGGAATCCCCATACAAACCGCCATTTGCATTCGGCGGAACAGATAGGTACAGGCAATGCAGGGAATACATGAAGCAGG